TTCTCTTTTTTTCCTTCTCTCTCTCTCTCTATATAGGTGGTTTAGGGTGTTGTGTGTATAAAATGAAAATGGGTTCCATATAGTGCTACCTAGTGCTCCACTAAATCCAAATTACAATTAAATTCCTCATTTTCTATTTTATATAACATTTAGTAATTTCCGTAATTGAAAATTAAACCCCAAAATTTTATTTTATTCGTCTTAACCCCTTACTATATACCCATTTCCTTCATATTGAATAATTAGTTTTAGTATATTCAAAATAACATCCTAGATTTGTAAAAAATTTGAAGTTTAAAAAACGTACCCACGTACCCGTATTTGAAATTTGGACTCATTTTATCCATATTCCCGTATCCTACATTTTAGAAAATAAAAGATCGACATTAAGACATATATCCGTACCCGATACCCGTACCCGACTCTGAGCCTCATAGCCTCCAACATCCCAAACGGTGAAGCTGATGTTCTTGTACTCAATAGTTTCCACATTGAAACCTGCAGAGCAATAGTAAGCCACCTAGGAAAGCAATTATTAGAGAGCAACATTCACTTTGAAACAAACAAAAGAAAATTGGATAAATTTCATTTTCACAAGTACATAACATATCAAAGCCAAGATCAAAGTATTTATAGAATAATGGAGATATTAAGTTTGCATAATTAAGAGGCCATACCAATGGTGGGAATGGTAGTGACTATCTTTCCAAGCTTGAGCTTGTACAAGATGGTGGTCTTACCAGCTGCATCGAGACCAACCATCACAATCCGCATCTCCTTCTTGGCAAAAAGCCAGCTGAACAACTTCGTGAATGTCAACCCCATTTCTCTTTCTTGCTTTTGACTCCTATATATAATCAGGAAATGAAGTGAATTTAGGTAAGAATATAAAGATATGCATTTACGTACGTGATTTTCAGTCATTACATCAAATACTGTGGGATTATAATCAACAGTATACACATGCTATTTTTCAAATTCAATATAATTATAAATCACTATACCAATCCTAAAACACTTTCTCAAAAAAGATGAAATAGTCTAGTGGCATTGATGTTCCTGAATACACAAGACACTGTGTGCCTATGCCCTCGCAAATATAGACTTCTGATTCAGCCCCCTGTTTGGTGGGGATTTAAATCAAATCTTAGTAGGTTTTAATAAAAGTTGATGAAACTACGTGGTTGAAAAATTATGGGTCCCAAATAATGTATGGTTAATGTAGCGACCGCGAACTTTT